TTTACTCAGTGTCATGCAAATAGTGAGAGACTTTCTACAAATATCAATACACAAAATCAATAACATTTAACTTAGGATTTATTCTACCAAAGCCTATCAAAATAAAGTCTTCCAAAGCCTATCAAAATTACCATCAGCTGCAGCTTTTCAAGTTTAAACCGCCTTGGAAATTAAAGCCATATGGCAAGAAACAATAAAACAGTACTGTTCTAGCTTACTATATTTTACTATATATGTGTTGCTAGATGAAAATGTGTTCATAGAATTTTCTGTATTTTACCAGGATATTTGGCTCAGATGGATTTCAAGGAAGTTATATATATTGTATAAGATGCTGGTGCAATCTATAAAGGGTAGTATACAATTGCAGAGGAATAGAGAGCAGATTCTGCCAAGATATTCAATAAACAGCTCAAGTGGCTCAGTTACACTGCAAAGAACGCAGAGTACATGTGAAACATCACAACCAACTACCTCAGCATCAATTGCAACCCTCAAACAAACAAAAAAGTCAAAGAGAATTTCTAACAAATTATGTCACTTTCATAGCAAGTTGTGTTTTTATGTTATATTTATAGTACTAGTTAGAAACAAGAATATCTGAAAAGATAAAGATAGGTACCTAATTCAGTCTCCAAACAAATACCTATGAGGATAAATATACTTTTAATGCATGGCTAATGTAAGAACACGTTTTTATAACGTTTTATGCATCTGTTTCTAGATTCAAATAGGAAATGAAGCCAATTATTGCTATAGGAAAGATTTTGGAAGATTGAACAATAACATAGCAATTGCCCTGATAGTGGTTTTCATATAGCCAGGCCCTGAGACCCAAAACACAAAGAAAGCCAATATTTAACAAAAAGTTTTCCCCCCTCCACACACTTGTTTCTTCCATTTAAGATTCTTTCATGTTGTTCTTTTATATCTAAAAGGGAAAACATTTTACTCTCTAGGGCTAAGCATATAGAAGTTTCAATTAAACAATGCAATGCTTGTCATTCTTAATAATGTACAGTTGGTTATCTTTTAATAGTATGGTCTATATATACACACCAAAATCCTCCAATAACTTTTATGTTCATTTGAAAACTGTCCAAAGATGATCTCTAGAAATTATTACAACTCTAGAAAGTATTACAACTTAAAACACAGTGGACACAAATAATGAATGTAATAGTTAATAAACCTGTAATGACAATGGTTAAAAGCTACTCAATTTACCAAGGAAACCAAAAATTAAAAAGCTAATGGGAAAAATCAGAATTATGGATCTCAATCCCTTTTTCAACATAAAAGCCCTCATAACATGTGGGAAATCATTGATATATTAAGTTTCTCTATAGTTCTCCCTGACAAGGCATTAAATGCTCTCACTAAAACCAGAAGAGAGAAAAATACCATTAAGTATTTGGACAGGCCAAAACCCCTTTGGCTTCAGGAAGCCTTCTTAATTGGTTTATCTAAATCATAAAGAGTAATTTGTGTTTTACACACAGAACCTAAAACTCTTGAACTCCACTTCTGTGCCCCATTCAACTGTTGCTGCAGAAAAATCCAAATTACAATTGAAAACAACTACAAAACAGTAGCACATGTTACAGCATATGTTGCCACAGTGAACAGTGCTTAAAGCTCCTAATTCAGTTGTTTTGCAAAACCAGGAAGGTTTCAGTGATTCCTCAGCACTGAGTCACATTCTGAGATAGGTCAAACCATAACAAGAGTTTTTATGAGTTTGACATTGTTTAACTGGTAGCAGTTTCTTCCAAAGTTAAGCAAAACACTACTCTATAGAAAGTAGTAATTTTGAGTATCTTGTATAGTTTTTATAATTTCAGCAAGAACTTCAAAAAAACAAACAATGAAAGATGAAAAGCAATTTAAAGATACATGTCCTCTGAACTGAAGGCTATGACACTTTTTTTAAAGTGTAAGACTATTTTTCTCCCACCCACTATGAATGCCAAGCCTGTCAATCAGGCTAACAACAACAAAACACATATGGGAGAGTTTAAGGGAAGAGAGCAGACATGAGAAACTGCTCCTTGAACTTATTTTGAGTCAACTCCAACATGCACGCCTGGGAAAAGGAAAACAAGGAGTTTAGGGTAAGTTATGTTCTTTGTTATTTTTGCATAAAATGGGCATAAAAGACATCCATGCCAATGGGTTATATTTTGCATAAAGTAACACCTTGGAGAGTTAAGACTTTGCTCAAGTATATTTTGCTAATGAGAGCAGTATTCTAGTGTAACCAATAAAAGTTCCATGCAGCAGTTTCTTTCTCTTTTGCTCCTTTTTGTAAAGTCGAGTTTGACTTAGAAGTTTTAAAGCAAGTTTAACATATTTAGTGGATACGTTCATGAAAATATATAGCCCTATTTTGTAAGAAATGTTAACGGCATGATCTAGGAAGCAGTTTCTGTGCTCATTAGTGATTTTTATGAAATTGCAAATTGAAGACTTGCTTTATGAAACTCCAAGGGGCAGTAGCCTGTAAAAACATGTCTCTTATGGGGCTTTCACATTCCAAACTGTAGGAAATAATTTCATTCAAATATATACTATAGTGGTGTCTTAACCCTATTTTATGTATGGGAATTACTTGCGAGAATTCCTTTCTATTTAAAGGTCAAATTATGTGGTGTCAAAAATCTCCACATTAACCAAGTCTTGTGTGATATTTGGTGCTCATCAAGGGGGAAGAAAGTAGGGCACAGCAGATTTTTTTTCCTAGGAGCTTCAGCAAAAATTAAATATCTCTCTCTCTCTATATATATATATTTGTATAGTTTGAGGGGCACCAAGGCTCCCATCTTCCCTTAATTTATCCCAAGCGTCTCACAGGCCACATGTCCCCAAAGCCAAGGGGTGTCCAAGGGCACATATTTACTCAGACTGCTGTGAATTTCAGTGTAAGGTAAGGAGGAGTACATGGGTCCTAAGTGGAATTAGTAGCCAAACCTGGTTAGCTGCCCATATGACACCTCTCACCTGGTAGAAGCAGGTGAACCCAGGACCAGGGCCCAGTTTCAAGTCAATTTGACTTTTGAGATGCCTGATCCAGACTCATTTTTACCTCTTCATGAACCAAGCCCAGTCTGTACAGCAGAAACAGCAGCACTGCACCTCAATTTCACTCCTGACACCCCCCATTATCAGGCTCTTCCCCTGAGCAACCATTAAACCTGACACCCACAAGCATCTCCCACCCAGTCACTGCCAGGCTCCAGCACTAGCACATGAGGAACCTGCTGCTCATGCAGTTGCTCCCAAGTGGAAAAAAAGCACACAGATCCCTTCCCAGATAGCCATGTCCCTACACATACTGGAACAGGCATTGCCACTTGCCCTCATCCAGGGGGATAGTGCCCTTGGATGCACTTAAGGCCAAACTCTACAAAATTCAGTATTACTATTTCTTACAGCATTCACAGCCAGATTGTCTGAGGTTCTTTTCTGAGAAGGCAAAGTTTTAACTGCAAAGGCTTCTGTGTTAATTCCCCATTTCTGAAATTCCAGAATTTGAGCTTTGCTGGGTTCAATGTTCTGGCAAGTTATGGCATAGCAAAGAGCTAAGGGTAGTTAGTGGCAACCACCTACATCTGACCTGCCAGGCACTAACAGAAAAACACAAGCAGGAAAGTTCAAAGGATAACAGATGACACATTTTAACTTAGTTGGAATCCATTTTAATCTTTGAAAATGTGCTCAAAATCCTTTTTGCTTTCAGAAATAAAACAGGAAGAATAATTGGAAAGCAGAATATGCATTTGTTGGGTTCAGCCTTTTCTGGAAGCGTTCCTGTTTCCTCTGTCATGGTGACTCAGAATTGCTGAGCAAATTAATCTCCATTTGCTTCAGCAGCTGCAGCTTGGCAATTTTGTAGCCCATTGCATAAAGCACTGGCTCTCAAGCTTTCCCTTATTGCTCCACTTTAGAATATGCACCCTGACCCCTTCTCCCATTTAAGAGCTGCATATGCAGCTCATCTTAATCTGGGAACATGCTTTGTGCTAGAAGTATATTGGAACCAGAAGGAGCAGAACAGGAGATTGCGCTTGGAGAGGGTTGGATGGGGATAAGGGTGGCAAAAGCAAGCGTCACCCTGAGCTTTTTTGACACTGCACCTTGCAGCTGTCAGGCTGCTGTGTTCACTGCTCCTTCTGCTGCCAGGAGCATTTCCCAGCTGCACATTGACCTCCCTCCATAGGCCCCCCCAGAGCTACATCCAGCCCAGGAAATTCCCTAGTTCAAAGGGGTTGAAAATCAGAAGAGTAGATGCATATTCTTAATGCTTGCTCTGTTTCTATATCATTTCCTAGGTACTGCATTTCTGGCCACAGTCAAGACAAGACACTAGGCTACACACATTTCCGCTCTGATTCAGTACATGTATTTTGGTTTAGACCTACTTTTTTAAAAAAAGGTGACACAATACTTTTAAAGAACATATTTTCAATACTAAGAGCCTAGGGGAGGGAAGGTGAGGGCATAAAAGAAGATAACAAACTTGACAACATAATTTGCCTTTGAACAACAGAGTGACTACGAGTACAGTGTCCAGGCTCAGCATGAAATCTGCATTAACACAACTGTAAGGAAACACCACATCTGTAAATAAGCTCCATTTCCTCTGTATAAACCCCACAGGACATTATGTCAAACCCAGGACCAACTTAAATATGGTCTGAAGCAGGACCCAAGTAGCTGCTCAAAGGTGGTAAGCCAGGTCTAGCTGCCACTAACAGTTTAGAAAAAGTCACATCATACGTGCACCTGTAAATAGGATGTTGATGACCCAGAATTTTTAATATATACACTCATTTTCAGCAGAATCTTCTAGCTAGCTTCACTAACAGCAGATGTCTGCATCTGTTAATGTAACTCCTTGGACTCAGAGGGCCACTCACACAAGAGCATCAATACTTCCTAAGTCACTGTGAGAAGGCGGGCACTTTAACTGTGCAAACAGGAAAAAAAGTTGCAAAAAGGACTTCCTCTTAGGATTTCTGCAGTAGCTCAGTAAAAACCAATGAAGCAACAGTTCAGCATTACTCAGACCGAGCGTTTCTCGCTGGAGAGCAACATGGCCACAAAGCTTCCATCTCAAGAGGAATGCGAGAGCTGGACAGCTTTTCAAGTCGCAGACCTCCTAAGACAGGTACTGAAAATATAGCTCATCTATATTCGGCTAGCAAAATTCTTGCTAGATTTATCTTTGTAAAAACTATACAGATGTCTTATCCTACACAGAGCACTGACATTAAACTGGACCAAAGATGGATTAGTCAGCAATTAGCAGCCTAATATCTCATTTATATTAATAACCTGTAAGTTTCTTGACGTTCTCGCAGTTTTTACAGAAATTGAATTCTGCTAGCAAAGATCTACATGGCAAATCATTAATATGTTTGCTTGCAGGTATATTTAAAATAGAGCAGATAGTTCATGCCACAATTTTTCTGGGAAGGAATAATCATTAGAAATCGGTGTCTTTATTTGAATATCACTAAAGTTTATAGGTTGTCAATGACAATCTGCTTTTCATCTTTTCTGCATGCACACATATCTACAGGAGTTTCTAGATGGAGTCTTAACCTCAAGATAGCTGTGGCTTGGCTCTTTTTAGTCATACTTTTATCTCCTTGTACCTTTACTACCTGCTGCAATATCTGTTGTGCAAAGCATAGGCATGTAACCTGACCTACTACAAAGTAATTCAAACTTGTCTGCAGTCATCCCTTCACTACCTGAATAGTTTCCTTCAAGATATGGTTGCTTTTTATATCAAATTTTTCCCTTGTAACCTACTGAGTCATGTTTTACTGCAACTTATGTATATGATAATAGATACCTGCAGCCTATTTACCTAAGATATTTGAGAACTCCTTTCATTTTTTTTACATTTTAATGAGATGTCCCTCAATATAATTTTACACCTAGAATTTTTCTGACATGTCTGCATTTCCCTGCAGCGCACAGTTTTTGAACACTCATTTTATTCCAAACATGAGAATTTAGTCTATTATAAAGTTCTTATCCTTTTTAATTGAAGGAGCATGCAATTTAAGGAAAAATGGAGTGCTATGAAGTTTCTACATTAGTTCCACTGAGCACATAGGTAGGTCAGAATTTAAGAAATTCCTGCATTGTTTGCCCACTTTTGCACTGCACCTGAATACTCTATACTCACATATGTAATTTTTAAAATCAGCTTTGTGATGCAGGTGAATGATGGGCAGACTAGAGTTATCAGACTGAAAAAGCTAAGGTATCAACTCCATGGTACACATTAATCATAATGCATCAGCTATGCTGTGAACTCTTATTACCATGGAAAGCTACTCAGAGGGTTAATTACCCAAAGGCTTTTTGTCTCAAAAGAAGTCAAATTAATAGAAATATATATTTTAATTTTCCTGCAATTTAATAGTAAAATATAAAACAATTAACAGTTGTTTAGCAACTCAGAGGTTTCTGGGGAAGTTTTGGTAGGCTAGTGGTTAACTACTGAGTTTGTGGTTCTTAAGTGCTCTAACCTTGCTCTTCCATGCACATTAACGCCTGTGCCTACACTCATTGCTTGCAGAAGCCAGGTGATGCACTGACTACAATATAACCAACATCAAGACTCAGAGGTTAAAATGCCAGGTTTACTTCTAGCTAGATTTTGACTCCTGTTATATATACACATAATATACATGTTTATTACAAACATCTGTACTTGCTTTTGCATGCACCCCTTTCACCAATCACAAAAGCCTCTTTTTCCATGCAGAGCACCTTGTGTTTTGTGCCCTACTCTGGGCCAATACAGAAACTCTAAGGTACACAAGGCCAGAGCTTGCTGGAAGAGGATGAACTCACGGCACATGAGCTGCCATGAGCCAATTTCTGCCTTGACATACCAGATGTTGTCACCACCCCATCTCAGCATCCTCTCCTAAGGCCCTGCAAGTCTCACAGGAACAAAGCCTGCCAGCGCCTGATGCAAAATCCCAGGCGCTCATTTGCGGAAGTGATCAGAACTGAACTGCACTCAAAGTCAGTTGGAGCTCTGCTCAGAAGAAATTGATATCACCATACTGACCATGATAGGCAGTTACATACACAGCCCTGTGCACGTGTGTTTAAGGGCTTTTCAGAGCACAGTAGCTCACATTTGAACTAATGAAGCAAATGCATAGAATCAGGTTTCATAGTTCACTTCATTAATGGAGCTGAAATAGATGCACTGAATACCTGAAGTATCATGAATACTAAAACTCAACTGGCACAACTGCCAGAAGATCTGCTTCACAAGCCTTCTATTTTTTCCTATTTTTGCTATTTTTTCCCCTAACAACCAAAGTGGAATATATAGATTACTGAAACCTGACACATCTCCATATGAAAATATTACTAACTTGGAAATCAAAGTCAGGTTGCACACTGTTTTACTAATCCTTTTTTTCTCCCCTCATCTCAGTTTGGAATGTCTGAATCTGCTGCGGTTGTAGAAAGACTGGGCATGAGCGGATTCCAGTTCCTGGTAAGGAAATCTTTCCCAAGACAGAGCAGTCATTCACATGCCAATGAGAGGCTCTTATCTCATACAACAGCAGGGAATAACCTGACATTATTCTTTAAGAACACATTAGCTCTGATTTCACATGTACTACATGCCTGACTCGAGCAACTCCTCCCCAAGTCCTGGGCAGCCCTTCTTGCCATACACACAGCACACTGGTAACTAGAATCATATGCTAGCACATTGCTGTGGACAGGAATGTCTCCTAAGAAAAAAAGGGGTTTAGAGTTGTAGCTTTTAAAAATACATAGCCATTATTCATGGAAGAAGTTTTCCATTACACCTGCATGATATAAAGCACTAACACAAAATTCTACAGGAATTTTACACCAAATTTACAGACACCAAAAGCAATGTCTTAAAAATGAGTTCTCTTTCCATAGAAGTCAGGAGTATTTTTTTGCGTAACGATGTGGTTATGTTAAATTCAACTTAGTAGTACAAAGGAATAGAACAACTCTAGAAAGGAATGCAACAAATGTATGCCATGTATTCATGCCCCACAGAGAAACGCTTTGCTTGGCACTTTGTTACTCCAAGGTACTTGCTGGGGCAGGAGGGGTCATTTTGACTAGTTATGTTCACAGAGGTCCTCATTTTGCAAACTGGCTCATTAGTCTGGTGTTACACAGGTGTATTCAGGTTTTACTTTGTCTACCACTGCATAGCCAGTGTAAGACTGGGGTTTACTAACTGTTCATGCTGCGTCAGGGCTAAAGCTTTCACAAATACAGACCTGCTCATGCATCAAATTGCTAAAGATACTGTAATCATAGCACCTTGAATGCTGAGTGAGAGGGAAAAGCTGCAGCTAAGGGTGCTAGTGATGACTCCTCACACCAGCTCCAATTAACACTGTACCTCAGCCACAGAAAAGGGCATGACAAATTCAGACATTAATAGTAAGCTAATAAAAATGAAACGGGAAGAGAAAACACAGGCAACTTTTGTAAGATGCTCTATGACAGGAGATTTTAAAAAATTGTGTGCTTAATGAAAACGTTTGATAGTGTTCTCTCCAAACGATGTATTCTCTAACATTTAACAATTACTTTGCAGTGCAGAAAACACGGCAATAAATATGGCACTATGAGAAATATCCTTTTTTGATGTTACTGTAAAAAGACAAGTCTCACACGGGTAGTAAAGAATCTTACACCTTTCATGCATTCCTTAATGAGATTGCTCAATACTGCTGTCAGCATGCTAGACCTCTAATAAACTAAGCTGGAAAGAGAATTATGACAATACTAAAAGAATTATTCAAGAATGATTCATCCTAGATGATCAGGATGTGGCTTTTCTCACCAACAGCAACACTGTGTAACTGCAAGATACTGTTCTGCATATAAGCCAACATACAAGCTAACTCATAAGTAATAGAGTACTAGTCCACCTTTCTATACCTGGTCTAGTATACAATATCATCATTCCCCAACAGCAAGACATTCACTAGTTTGTATGCGAGTATCCAAATTTGAAATTCCTAAATCCTCAAGTTATCTTTGTACCTGTTATTAGTCAATAATAAGTTGAAGTGTAAAGGTACTATTAAAGGTAATAATGACACTAGGCTGTTCTCTACCCTTTCACATGTGTGCAGAGACTGGTGAGCATCTTCTGTGATGTAGGAGCTATGCACCTACCCAGTGCTGCAGTGATATTTAGTGCTTAGATGCAGGGTTATTTGTTATGAGCACCACTAGGATCTCTGCACAGAAGATTCCTCCTAGTTGGTCAGAGAGATGGCAACTACCTGTGGTGGTATCTTCCAGGTGGCTTTAGTGATCTTCTCTCCATTGTGCAGACATACAGCCTTCTTTACCTGTGTATAACTTAAGAAAAATCATCCTTCTTTGCAGGATGCTATTGCAGGTGCTTAGCATAGTGCATGCAAAGGCTTAGGAGAGGCTGGGGGGAAGATACAAGAGCTTCCCAAACATCTACCAGCTCTCCTGTACAATCCTCACAAGCCTACTGGTAGGTCCCTTGTTCTCATCATTAAACTCCTTTGCTCTGCCCTCGGTTCTTTAGCTTCCCTGTTGTTGACATCTTCAGCATCTTTTGCACAGGCTTTCTGCAGTGGTGGAAAGCGCCACAATCAGACAGCACCATGGTGGGGCTCGTACTGCACTGGCCTCACAGGGGGCCTTGCTGAAGGTGCCGTTCCTGGAAAGCAGTCTCATGGGAGATTTATCACAGCATATAACCACTAACACAACAGCTGTGCCACAAGTTTCCTCTGTGGCTATAGAGGGCACAATCTTTTTTTTTCCTTCAGGAAAATAAAGCATTTCTTGCACTTCTGAAAGATACAATAATACAATAAGCTTTAGGATAACTAAACTTCCTAGAGAGGACTTCCTGGGCAACACGCACTTAATAAAACATAATTTTTCTTTGATAACATATTCATCTGACATTAATACTAATGCCTTTTTGAAGCTTAAAGTGTTCAATCAATGCATACAGTATAATGCATGTAACATGATAAGATGGACACAGCACTTTCGATCAACTTGGATGGATTTCAGAATAAGACTTGAATAATCAGCATTTAGATGGCTTTCTTTGAAGATTTCTTGTCTATGTGGTAAAAAGACAATTACTTTCACAGCAATATTACATTTTGTTTATAAACATACTAAATTTCAGACTGATCTTTTCCCTATAAAAGATTACATGCATTTTACATGAACTTCTAAATAACTCTTTCTTTTTACTTCCTAAGGAGCTCAAGATGCAGAATGACAGTATGTTAGATCTAAAGCATGCGGCTTTATTTCCCTTTTCTATCAATAGTACTCTACTTGTGATAGTTATTCAATATGCAGGTCACATTTGAATGATGCTAATCTGGTCCTAATGTGCAAATCAGCATTTAGCCACAGCTGCATTGCACAGAGCATATTATATTCTCTGGAGATTGAGGCCTGAATTTGCTGTGCTGTCTCCACTTTTCTGTTCTCTACAAGTTGCTTCTTTTAAGTTAAATTTATTTTTATATTTCTGTGACATCGAAAAATCTGAACTTTGATGCAAGCTTGAGAACTGAAAGACAATGGAATCCTGTTGGATGTGTATGTGAAAACATGCTGAACGAAGTCTAAACAGAAGAAATACAAAATACATAGACTGTTTAGAAAGTGTCCAATGATGTCGCTATTATTTCAAAAGGTGTTTTGAATGCCATGGCTGGAACGGGGGATCACCAGACCCAGGCAGGAGGATAGGCTAAGGTAGCTTTGGGCAGCTTCAATCTTTCTCAGAAAAGAGCTAACCAGCATAAAGTATCAGCCCACTGAGTGATATCCACCCCAGCCCTCTTAGCTCTGGAAATAAAGCATGGATCTTGAGTTTCCCAAGGAAAGCAATGCTAAGTACAGTCCCACCTAAGATCTAAGCAACGAAAACACAAAGCCTGTTAGAAACTTGCCAGCTTTAGTCACAACCCAAGGTCCTTGGCAAGAATCAAGCAACTCTTGCTGCATTTTCTCCAGGCACCAAGCCTGTTGAAGATCACTGAGACCTTTCACTGAGGAACAAAGGCTGTAGCACAAGACAGTACAGAAGGCTGGAATGTAAGTGAGGTCTAGAGAAACATAAGTTTGCACAGGATCTTCAGTGTTTACACTGCTACTGGTGAGTCAGCTGTTCAGGCTGATTTGTTAAAACACTAATTGTTGTTTCTAACTTATTCTGCATTCTACTTATTTCAGAAAAACAAAAACAAAAAAAAAAAAGGCTTTTCTTCCTTCACAAAGCTTCAGGATACCCAAGTGCTTAGTGTAAATAAGAGTGATCTCAGCACCCTCAGTGCTTTAGAAAGCATGCAAAGTCTAAGGCAAAAAAAATTCTTCATGCAAAAGTAACCATTGCAAGATACGTATTTCCAGCTGCAAAACCTGATGCCATCTGAGTGCATTAAGTTCATTGCCTTTTTGCAGTTTCTGTTTCTCTAGCCTGTTTCCTCATCCACACATCAGCACCACCTCACACATCAGCCCTCCCCGTCCCCAGGAGGCTTAGCCTGTACCAAGCCCTCCTCTCCTCGCTCCCTGGCTTTCCAGCCACCTAGAGCTTTCCTTCTGCTTTGTGTTTGGCCAGATCCCCCTTCCCTTTTCTTCAACTGCACCTAAAGAGCAGGGGGGAAAATTTCTCCTGGTGACCATGCCCTGCTTTTTGTGGCCCTCAGCTTTCCTTCCTTTCTGTCCTTCTCCCCACTTTTAGAGGCCACAAAACTGGTTCATAAAAAGTATTTAGAAATGCCTCCATTCCAGGAATTTCTGAATCCCCAGGGCTCACCTTTTAAATGAAAAGCCCAGATTTTGGTAGGACCTAGAACCCCCCAAAAGAGCTTGAACTCAAGCTGCTTTCTAGGTCATTTTGAACATCACAATCCAGTGTGTGAGAAAGGGGTTGTTTCTAGTTCTAGCTAAATAGGAAGCTAAAAGAGAATTGTGGTCATTTCAAGAAGGAAACGGTAAAAAAAATCCCATAGCGTTGCTAAACATGAAGCAATCAAAAACAAAGAATAAGATCTTAAAACTAGGGCTAAAAGGGAGACATTTTACAGCTGAGTGCATCTGCCACTATCAGTCATCTTCAGTTAAACAGTCAGGGATAAGGGCAATACATATTTATGTACTTTCAGAAAGCATAAGGCATCTATTAAGCAAAAGCAAGAACTGCATATATTAAATGGATGAAAAAGATAGGTTACTGACTGCAGATATGATTTCTCAAGTGCATGGCACCATGCATCATTATCTTAGCCACATAATACAACTTTAGCCATCACTATTGTATATTAGCCTAGTAGCTTTATTAGTTTAATAAGTATATTAAGCTAATATTAGCAAAAAAAATCCAATTTGAGGTTCAGATGCAGAGTCTACAAGTACTGTTATTCACGTTAGTTTAGAAACAGAATTCTTATGCAGTCATTTTGATTCATTTTC